ATTCCTGAGACTTTTCCGGGATAAAAAGTACCCTATGTCTCAGTCCAGGTTATAAACTATAAGTGCACCAAAATTTACTAAAATCCGTTGAGGAGTTCTTGCGCGATTGAGTAAAAAACTGACAAATATATAAAGTCAGAAACATACAAACCCTCACATTTATAATACATGTATATAGTATTCCTGACTTTATTTTAATTATATTATTATTTAATAGACATAAATAATTTGTCGTAAAGATAAACGTATATTTTCTACGTATTGATGGTATAAGGATTTTTTTAGCATACATAAATGTTCAATCATGATTTCATCTACTCTTTTCTTATATTCGATTAATCGGTTTGAACAAATTTTTTAATTGGAATCAGTTTAGCAGTTGGGATTATTCAACTGTTCAGATTTAAATTATAATTCGCCCAGGCGAGAACACAAAATTACTAAACCGTTATACTTGAATTTCGTACACGAGTGTTTCACCCGTTGTGTGTGTCACAAAGTCAGCGTAACGAGCTCAAATTAGGAAGTCGGTTGACCCACGTAATGCGTGCGTAGTATTTTGCATTAATTCGGGTAAAGCTGAATTTTCCGACACTGCCTGAATTGCCAATTCATTTGACGGTGAAATTATAGTATCGACTTGTGCATTATAAAGCTTGGAGAACGAGAATATATATAGTAAACGTTCATCAAAAGAGCAAAAGATTTAAAAAATATGCTGCAGTATACTTAACACTGCAATTTTAAAATACCGCAAAATTCGTTAACAAACATAGCGTATACAAACAGCCTTACCAGATTTGTATACACTGTGTACAAATAGTTTTACCAGTTACACTATAGTTGCGGCGGAAACGGAAATACTTCTTTCTTGCTAGGCTTGGTGGTAGTCATGCTTACGGCACGGCACTGTGCATTGTAGGACCTTGTTTATATACCCTGTGGCTGTAACTAATTTTTATAAGCGCGATTTTTGACATCGCAAGTAGTATTTTCCTTACAATGTTTGAGTTTTTTACACTTCCATCGATTTTTTGAATATTTTTTGCAGGCAAATAAATAATCTGGCAGTCCACCTGACAGTCTGAAGTTAGCCGTTATTTCTTTTTAGTGAAGCATTGGATTTTCTTCGCCGAACTTCAGTCCGGCTGAGATATTTTTCACAGATTGTTAATTTTGTAGAGATATGACGCGGTCGCTACGTTTAATTTTATTAGAGCTGTCACACAATGGGTCACCACAAGTTATGGACGAACTTTTACTCACATCGGATCTATGTGAGATTATCTTGTGAATGGGAATCACAAATAATGGTAAATAATTAAAAAACGCGCTGTATAACTCGTAAAATGTGCGTGTTGGTGACAGACACTGGCATGAATACGGAACAACCTCACCGGCCAGCTTACGTGTTTTTGAATTATTTTTTTTAAAAGTGTTATTTTTTTATAGAATAACATATTTCTGGGGTAAAAAGTATTCTATATCTCTATCCAGATCATAAACTTCAATTGTACCAAACTTCATTCAAACCGGTTCAGTGGTTTTTGCGTGATTGAGTAACAAACAGAACGATGGCTGGACACGTATAATAATTAATATATGAACTTTCGGGATAAAATAATTATGCTGGGCACAAATACAATAACACAATTCACAAGAAAAACTAACAATAACAATAAATAAATATGTCTGTGTATTCTCAAAGAAATAAATTTAATGCTGATGACGTCGCGGCAGCCGCTAGTATACAAATAAAAAGATCGATCGATAGCACATTTTTAAGATAAATCCATTACGACTACGTCAATCATACTGAAGTTCAAATATCCATGCTTGCTCTTAATACCTCTTGAATAGAGTTTAACTTTGTTAAACATACAGAAGTTCCTGAATCAACATTATCCGCCATTCATGTAAATGCACGCCTTGGAGTCGACGTTACGTAGTTTGCCCCCTGATGTAAGAGGCAAGTCAGGATGAATGGATTAACCGAATCCTGGGGTTGTTAATGCGTTTTAAAATACCGAAATATTTTAGTCCCCCATTTCCCTCACAGTGGTTGCCGATAAGGTTTTATTTCTAGGTTCGTATGAATATACAGATGTAGTGGTTATTCTACTTGTGGCTTATTCTTTTACGTATTCTTAGGTATTTTTCCGTTTTCAATTAACAAAAAAATTATAAAGTAAAGCGCGTCAAAGTTTGGGAGTAGTGGAAATATTTTAACTATGCGAAAAAATTTAATATACATATTCAATACTTTTTGATAAATCAACCTGATAGACGAAGAATATGAAAATAATGAATGATGCGTTTTGAAATTTGTAACACATACTCCCTTATCACAATTTTTGTAGTCAGATCTTCATGACTCTGGTAAAGATGGGTTTAATTTGACCGTGGAAAAGCTAATATTATTTTGATTAGTTCAACTTCGCATTTGCTCTTGTTGGGTGTATAGGGTTGGTCTTCTCTATCTGTCATCTCAGAAGAATGCAAATGTCATAAAAGGACTTGACAATGTTTGCACCACGGTCTTATAGTCCTTACACCCATTTTGCACCTCAGATCACAGTTGTCTTGTTTCGTTGTGACACTTTGTTACGGCTCAATCTACGGAACATATCTAAGATCCAGGCCTTGAATCCATAACAAATTTCCGGTCTTTTCTAAGATGTTTGCTCAACGTGGTTGCTCACTGCGGATCTCATAAGAACACTCAGTCACACAACGAGCAACGGAGAGAGTGCGTTTCCCTACACAATACGAATCAGAAATGAGAAAATCCGTAAAAGAACTAAAATAACCTCTTTTGCTCTACTGAAGTGGTAATGGGCGGGTACGTAGTGAGGAGAACCGATGGCCGTTGGGGCGGAAAGGTTCTCGAATGACGAGCACGCACCAATGCTTAGTGGGCAGCCCCACCAGGTGGACCAACAATCTAGTGAAAGTCATGGGAAGCCAATGGATGCGAGTGGCGAAGGACCTGTGTGGAGATCCTTGGGAAAAGCCTATGCTCAGTGATTGGCGTCGTACTATGGGCTGAAATGTTGAAGATGACCACCAGAGAAATTACGCTCATTTATGACGTTTTCAAACCATGCAATGGGACGTTTGTCTTGAAAACTATTATGAACTTCACAGGCCAATTATCCACAATTGGCCTGTGAAGTTCATAATAGTTTTCATACTTTATTTTTAATTTCTTCGGCATTTATCCTCGATTTGTAGGTATTTATTTCTTCAGTATCCTTGATGGAGTCTTGAAGGTGAAAATTGAGGATCATGTTTCATTGCAAAGTATTCAGAATGTCACTATCCTTTCATACTACTTCATTGTCAGCAGTACCGTCAGAATCAACACGAGTTCGAAGACTGTATTTTTCATCATAAAGAGATGATCCGTATCATAAATTCACGGTGACATACATAATGCTCGTTACCATTATAAATGATAAAAAAACAATTGCTACACTACTGTCCTAAATGTAGTACAGCATAAGTTTTATGTAGTTTTGTATACATTTATCACAAAATTTGTACATCCCAGATATATCTTTAAAAATGAGGTTATTTAAGAAATGGTTATAAGTTCAAAATAAAAACAATATTTTTTATAGATGCCTCTGCATGGTTACGTCTACAATTGCCAATTACTATGCATTTTACAATGAAATACTTAAAAGATAATTATTATATTTTTAATACAATGCTTCAAAGTATCCTTTAAAATATGAATTACATTTTCATGGGCCTACTTATCCTTATATATATTTATTTTTTAATTGTGCCGTCCTAAATAAAGGACAGTAGGTTTATCTGGGTTAACCCATACTTACTTAGTATACTTAGTATACTTGGATTTGATTTGTATGACTGTATGAACAAAGTCCATTTAACTAAAATAAAGGCGACGCCTACAATGTGTAATAACAAATATCCTAACAAAATTATTGGCATGTGACCGAAAACCATTGGATTGGCGGAACCTAAAATGACGTCACACGCTTGTAAACATGCTGTAGAAGTGACATCACTTTTTATGAAGTTAAAAACTAAACAACAACGTATGAACGTTTTCAAAAAGTTGTCAAATACCCTATTGTGTATAAAACCTATGGATCGTTAGGTCACAGATATATGTAATTACAGTTTGTTGTAGCATGTTGCTATGTTATAGCAACTGGTCTGGTTTAGAATAATAATAATTATTATAGGCAATACCGAGGCTACTCAATTACTGCTTATATATTCATTACTATACCTAATTAATTTTGTAATAAACGGTCAACTTAGTTATGAATACAATATGATACCTAGTCTTTTTATAAACATTTCGGTATCAAGGAAAGTTCATAAAATAAGTACCTAAATTGAAAAATGATTGAGTGATTTTTCTATGATAATAAATTTAAAAATGTTTCTAATTTGGTATACGGCAAAACCCACGAAGAAATAAAGAAATTGGAATGCTTAAAACAAATTCGCAGCTGAAATTTCCACAAAAATATTTACTTATTCGCAATTTCAGGCGTGTTGATATGAAAAAATATTTTCAGTTTTCTCCGAAGGGAATTCTAATTACAATGAAATGGTGTGACGGAAGCTGAGTGGAGTTTATATTTGACATCAAAATTAGAGTAAAAAATATAGCTTTGCACACATAAAGTAGATGTCACCAGATTTATTATCATAGGTATCATAATTGTGTTAATATGTAATATAATAATCAATAATTTACGAGCCACAAATTATTTTGAGCGCAGCTGCAATGCTATATAATACTGCGATAGGCAATCATAGATAATTATCATGAATTTATCAAGAATCATTTGCTCATTTCGTGCGTACTCAAAAGTTTTTTTTAATCACAGATTCAGTTATCTAAGGTCACGGCGGCGTCGTGGTGACTTTACGGAACAAACTAAATAGAAGGTTGCAATCAAAAACAAGTCGAGTTTGTTATTTTATCAGTCTCCGTCAGAACGGCGAGCACGATGGACTTCTGTAATAAAGTCGTTGTTATTACCGGTGCAAGTTCGGGCATAGGTGCATCGACAGCAAAACAATTTGCCAGAGAGTGGGCCAAAGTAGTCCTGGTGGGCAGAAATGAAAGCGCACTCAAAGAAGTCGCAACAGAATGCGAGAATGCAAAAGGAATAAAACCTTTGATCGTTAAAGCTGAGCTCAGCAACGATGACGAAGTTAAAAACATCGTTTCGAAAACTATCGAAGCGTTCGGTGGCATAGACGTGCTCGTAAATAACGCAGGGTTTGGATGTAAAGCTAGCATTCACGATGGAATTGAACCATTCGACCGTATCATGGCGACGAATATAAGAGCTGTTTATCTCCTCACCAGTCTGTTTACGCCCTATCTTGTGAAAAGTAAAGGTAACATTGTGAACGTGTCAAGCGTAGCAGCGTTCAGGCCGATCAAAGATGTGGATTTTCTGCCCTACTGTATCTCTAAAGCTGCTCTGGACCAATTTACTAGATGCCTCGCCGTCGAACTAAGTAAGGATGGTGTTCGAGTGAATTCTGTGAATCCTGGTGCGACAAGAACGCCTTTTGTGCAAGTTGCTGGATTTAACAAGGAACAAGCGGAGGAATTGTACAAAATCCGCGACAAAGTTATGCCTCTCGGAAAAGTTGCGGAGAGTGAAGATATAGCTGATATGATTGTTTATCTGGCTAGCAGTCGTGCTAGGAGCATTACTGGTGCTCTTCATGTGATAGATAATGGTGAAATCCTAGTGTAATCGTATGTTGTGATCTGTTTTGAGATATTTTATTCTTTTGTTAGTATAAACAGATGGTATAGCGATAATCAATGCCAAGAGGGATATTTATGAGAGTGATAGGCATAAATATTTTTTATATAATATGTTGCATTAAAATTATAGTTATTAACTATAGACGTGTTTGGTATCCATCGTGAAATGCTACTTAGTTTAGGGCTAAATTTAATTAAATTTTCCTATTTTATTTTATTACTGATAATAGTTTAAAATTCTTTTAGTCTTGGACTGATTCATTAACTATCTTGATACTAAACCATTTGTTTGTAAAAATTATATATTTGTCTGTAAATTAAAATCTATTTCGTATCTTTTTTACCATTAAACGATATTCTTTACAACTTACTTTTTGCTTAAACATTGTTTTGTAAAAATACTTGTTTATTTATGAATGTTTTATCTTAACTATGGTGTCAATTCTGGCACGATTCTCTAAATCTAAACTTAAATTTGACAACAGTGTATCCTTGTCATTCCCTATACAGAATGAAAAGGAGAGACTGATGTTAAATTTAAATTTAAGTTTAGAGAATCGACTTGACGACCTCCGTGGTCGAGTAGTTTGTACGCCGGGTTTCATGGTGTCGCCGACTCGAGAGGTCCCGGGTTCGAATCCCGGTGGGGGCAGATGTTTGTGTGATGAATACGAGCATTTGTACTCCTATAGTCATGGATGTTTAATATGTATTATATATAAAAAAAAATACTTTTATATGTACGGTATATGTATTCTATCCGTTACCCTAGTATCCCATAACACAAGCCTTATAGTGCTTACTTTGGGGCTAGGCTAATTGGTGTGAGTGTTGGAAATATTTATTTATTTAATCACGCCAGAATCGACAGCAATGTTTGTAAATGGCCATAGGCACTATGACTTTATCGAAATACTAAACCTGAAAAAATGTATATATAAATATCGAAATACTAACCAATATAAATGATACAACAGTTTTCCCAAGAAAAAAGTTGTTAAGTTATTTACTCAGACAAGAACAGCGATAGTGCCTGAGTGAAATCCGCTAGAACTGTGTAGGATACAATTTTACTTGAACATTTTCCTTGAGAATAAATAAGCTGGACTGCGTACGAAATAGACGCACATATGTACTACAAGAATAAGAATATACGACTTCAAAGGCTGTAGGGGGTTACATAAATAGGTCAGTGAGCTTATCTAATATACTCCGTGTTCTCTAGGCTATTAGTCTTCATTTAGCATGCAGTGGTGTTGATAACAAAGCAAAAGTAATGGCAAGCAGCAAATGAGAAGCGCGGGATTTCTCTGCTAAAAGGATTTTCATAAGATTGACGGCTTATTTTGTTTAATGTTCCTGTAAATAAATTTCAATGTTTTGTGTACAAGTCCAGAAGAGTATTCAAACATTTCCTCAATATTATTTAAGAGGTATATTGAATTCATTAGTTGAAAGGTTGTAGAGTCAATGCCATGTTTGCGAATTCTACTTGATAGTGACAGCACCTTTTACTATTTAGCAGTATTATCCACACTCGTATTGTAGGAACCAAAGTTTACAATGTTTGAGTAAAAATATTACAGTTAAAATACCACATCATAAACATTCAGCCGCAATAATATTTTTTCGAATTCGCGCCATTATTTCAATTGGTGCCATGAAATGCCGTGAAATTTTAATATGAACCCTTTTCAACATGAAAAGAAACTCGCGTGTTACCCTTAATCCCATCCACGGGGTAGAACCCGTGGTGTCCTATAACCTTACTCGTCAACAAAATACAGAGCTGCCAAATGCTATTGTTATTTTGCCGTGGTGACTTGTAAGGTGAAGGTTGTCTACTCAAGCGGGCGCTCCAATCCAAACGGGATTTACGCCATTTCAACTTCAATTTACAACTTTTTAACATTCACTAACTGTGACTGATAACCTTTAAATGACAAACTACAAACATAAATAAAGTGAATGCACTATCAAGGTTATCGATAATTTGTACGTACAATCGATATCCTTATCAGATATTCTAAAGAATACCTATGTATATCGTTTTATTAAAGAACTTATTATTTATTTATACGTTAAATCCTTGCTGAAGGTTGATTATTGAAAGTGACCGTAAACCCTACATCTATAAGATGTTCAAATTAGTAATACATTTTATCACACGTAAATAATAATAATTAAAAATACACTGTTCGCACCCCTACAAAAGGGGGACGGCATTATGGTACGTGCGAGACGGCGAGCTCCGGGGATTTTCGCCGGTGGATTTTTCAATTTTTATTTGCGCCTGTAAGTGCCAGTGGCGACATTTTTCGGAAGTGAGGTAATGTTAGTGGTACTTCACACGAGAGCGAGTTTTATACTGTAACTATATCTAGTGTACCCCTTATTTTTACTGTTACGTCAAAGACGTAGCAGTTTTATTTTTGTTTAACCCGGCGTCAGCACAGTCAAAATATGCATCTACGACAGTAGGGTTGGGTCGAGAGGACCCGTATAAGAAAACGCCATAATTACAAAAGTTAAAATAAATTTGGTTTGTGGTTGTACTATCTGTATAAAACGATTATCGTTATAGGGTTTGAGAAGAAAAAAACACAACATGATACGAAACTATCTTTTTAATGTCATTTTCATAAAAGTGTCACAAAATATTAACAAAAGGGACAACCTCTGTCTTAAAGTAATAAAATTTTAACAAAACAAACTTTTTTCTATAACATAAACTAATTTGTTATATGTTAATCAAATCTTTAGTAAACTAATAATATTATACTATTTGTATCAGTCTCATACGTCAGTCATAGTACCCTTATCATCTGCGCAATCTCGGCAGTACAACATTGCCTGCTCACTGCAGATGTATTTGCATATACAGCTCCGAAAAGTATTAGTTTTCTATCTTTTTTGGCAGAACAGTCTTGGCATCTCTTTCTTACATAAAGTATCTTCACAGGTGGCTCCTCATCAGGTACCTACTCCTAAAAACTCTCTTATTCTTTTGCGCATAAGTCTTGGCAGCTGAATGACATCTTTACGATTGCGCAAATGCTCACGAACCAGTATAAGGCTTAAGTTTCTTTAGAAATTGGCGTTATGTAATATGTACGCATTTATTCCAGACATATTTGCCAAAAATAACAAAATAAACAATATAAAACAACAATAAAACATTTTTTTAAACGGCGCAAAATTACGACACGAATAGTATGGTTGGGTCATATTTACCTTTTTCGTGTTTGGCCGTGTCTATCACTCGCTGCGGCTGCAACACGACTGATTGGCGAATCCCACGTGGAGGGGGAACCATTAGCTCCAGCTACTGAGAAGTTTGGCAAAGTCGCACAAACATTTTAAGAAACACGCTCATTTGAAAACTGCTCGGGTCAAATAGACCCAACTGTGCGAACGCCGGGTTAAGGCCGCGTTGTAAGGTACATCTTTAAATGTGACCTATTTAAAATACTATAGAAAAAATAACCATTTTTCTAAATTTTTCAAATTTTACCTTAACATTCTATTGTGTGTTTGATGTGACATTGACTCAGAGTCAAAAACTATGTATCAAACAACGCGTCCTCAGCCGGCCCTCGTAGTCCGTTTCACATAACTGTTTGGTTATATTTTTGGAGTGAAACTTCTTTACGCACGCTTGACTTGGGGGGAAAACCGGCGAATGAGTTACGCGTTACCAAAAGTGTGTTGGGGCGAGGCGAACGGGACTTAAGTGTGGGATATAAGCAAGAGAAAGCAGTGCGTGCGCACATTTTGTTTCTCTCTTTCTCTTATAGCTAATCGTGTGGTCATAACTACACTCGTTTTTTTTTAATAAATCGTTTGGTTTTACGATAGTTGGAGAGAGATTAAAAATTAGTACAGATAGATAATTATCAATAACCTCCTTTTTTATTACTATTTACTTACTAAAAGTTTGCAACAAAAGTATTTAAGCACCTATCTGTTTTCTTCATAAATATTGTTTGAGTGGCTATCAAAAGTACAAAGTTGTAAATTTTTCTTCCACAACCCAACTCTTGGGAAACTCAAAGATAAAAAATAAAAGTGTTCCATAAAAGTGTGATAACCAAACCAAATTTGGATGTTAAATTAATATTAATCACCAAAGTTTTTAATGTAGGTCAACTTTAACCTTTAACCTTCTCCGGCGCTTTATTCCCAGTTATAGCAGTCTCCTTCCCGTATAAAGTGAATTATATAGACCATTATTCTTTCCCAGAAAACCACAACTAACGACAAAAGCCCCAAAGCAATTTAGCACCTTTCCAACTAGTTTTATTGGTGGGATTAGAGATTAAACACGCGAACCGCAGTAACTTACGAAAGACGTTCAGGTACGTTGTAAGGGACTCGTGAAATTTGGGATTGGGTGCTTTCTTTAATATTACCTTCACATTTCTTACATGTAGCACTTTTACCTGGTAAAATTATATTTGTTTGGCTGTGTTTTTGTTTGTTATTCAGTACACTCCTTTTGTTTAGGATTCATTAGTTTTTTTTCCGTTACTGAATACAGGATAGCGCTGCAGCTTCACCTGCTTGGAAAAAAATGGTTTCGCTTATAAAAGTATTCATCTCCTAATTTTACACTTTTAAAGTTTTACTTTCGCAATAGGTAATTTTTTGTTTCCTGATTTATAATTATTGACACTAGCTTGCAAATACCCGGGCGGGCGCCCGGGTATTCGTCGGCGTTAACTTTAGATTTTATTCCCCAGGAACCTAACCTTGATTTATTTATGTCCACTCGCACCTTTACTGTTTATGCCTCCCTCGGGTTTATATTTAATTTCTTGAGTCCATGCGAATGAAGACGTGGAAAGATCTACAATATTATGATGCAGTAGTGATGAGATGCCGCTCAGCAAAACGCGGATAGTCAGCGGGATGATTTAAATACATGACTGTGATGCAACATTTTATTCAGTTGGCTGCTCTAACGGGTATATGATGTAAATGTAA